TCTTCTTCAAATATAGAGCCATTATTTCTCCCTTAGCCTCATATATCTCCTCAATTTGTTGCACCACCAGCTGGGAGTCACTGTGAATCATGAGCTGCTCTACCTTCATGGAATGTGCCATGTTGAGCCCAACGATAATGGTTTTGAACTTAGCTTCGTTGTTTGAAGTTTTGAAACTGAATCTGAGGGTGTACTCAATGTCTTTCCCATTTGGGGAGGTTAGGATTAGTCCAGCATTGCTGCCCTGGGCGTTGACATCATCATCTACAAAAAATTTTCATGTAGGGAGGTCGATTATTAGTTGCGTTATTTATAATGATACTTCCTGACCTGTTGTGAATTTTGCAATGAAATCTACCAAAATTTGTCCCTTGATAGCAGTTCTGCACATGTACCTGATGTCGAACTCGTTGAGGTCTATTGCCCATTTGACTAGCCTTCTTGACGATTTTAGCTTGTGCAAGACCTGCTTCATTAGCTGGTCTGTAGGGACTTCTATCGTGTGAGCCTAAAAGTAAGGTCTGAGTCTTCTCGCAACTATCACCAAAGCTAAGACTAACTTCTCCATCTTCGGATACCTTTCCCCTGCTCCCCTCAGAGCTCTGTTGCAGTAGTAGACTGGTTACTGAGCTCTGTCTTGCTCTCTAACTAGTGCTACGCGGGTCGAGAAATCTAAGACAAGGTATAAGGTGATTATGTCTCCCTCTCTAGGGCTCATGGGGATTAGGAGTGAACTGAGGTAATTCTTGAGGGCTTTGAATGCCTCCTTGCATTGCGCATTCCACTTGAATGCTTTTTTCAAGTCTTGGAAGAATGATAGACATTTATCTCTTGACCTGGAAACAAAACGACTTAAAGCTGCAATCCTCCCTATTAGACGTTGAACATCTCTCATGTTTGAGAGCGGTTGCATGTCAATTATAGCTCTGACCTTCTCTGGATTATCCTCTATACCTTGACTATTGACTATAAAACCCAAAAATTTTTAGCAGAGACCCCAATGACGCATTTTTCTAGATTAAGCTCCATTTGATACTTTTTATGGATTTGAAAAGACTTCTTGAGGTGGCTGATATGAAACTTTCAATGATTTCATCAGCATGTCATCGATGTACACCTCTATTGATGTCCCGATCTACTCTGAAACCTACGATTCATCAATCGCTGGTATGTGGATCCAGCGTTCTTTAATCCGAACGACATAACCTGGTAGCAGTATGTCGCTTTCTTGGTCACGAAGGATATCTTCTCCTGATCATTTAGGTCCATCCTAATCTGGTTTTACCCCAAGAAGGCATCCATGAAACACAGCAGCTCATGCCCTGCTGTGGCATCCACCATCAGATCGATTCAAGGCAGTGAAAAACTGTCCTTGAGGCAAGCGTGATTCAGATCGGTGAAATCAATGTAGAGACGCCACTTGTCGTTGGTCATCTTTACGAGGACCATACTGGCCAACCATGTCGAATAATCTACCTCATTGATGGCCTTGGCATGAAGGAGCTTGGAGGCCTCCTCATTTATTGCTTTTTGGCACTCTAGGGCAAAAATTCTCTGTTTTTGCTTGATGGGCTTGAAGGTTGGATTCACGCTAAGCTTTTGTGTGATGACTGAGGGGTCAATCCCTTGCAAGTCCTCCTATTTCCATGTGAATCCCTCCATATTCTTCTTTAGAAATTGAATAACGAGTTCTTTAATCTCCTTTAGCAGTTTTGATCCCATGTACACCAAATGTTCTAGGTCCTCGTTAAGTTGGATAGGCTCCAGCTCTTCTAAAGGCATGAGTCTTGTCTCCAATTTGTCCATCAGGTCGAGCTCATCCAGTTGTATAACTTTGACCTCCTTCTTCTTCATAGACGCCATGTAGCATTCTCGTGCCATTCGTTGGTCTCCTCAAACCACTTTAATCCCATTTGCAATAGAAAATTTCATCACAAGATGATAGGCAGAGAGAATAGCCCTCATGGTGTTGAGGGAAGGTTTCCCCAGTAGAATGGTATACGCTAATGAAGCATCCACGACCAGAAATCTCATTGTGGTAGTGGATTGGCAAGGATGGTCACTTATTGTGAGAACAAGCTGGATTGAGCCTAGGGGTAGTACCCTCTTTCTAGAGAATCCAAGTAAATAAGTCCTCAATGGCTCGAGCCTGTCTTTGTCGATGTCCATTTTATCAAAGGCAGAGGTGAAGATGATGTCAACAGAACTTCCATTATCGATAAGAACTCGATGAACCGTTCTGTTGGAAATGATGGCTCTTACCACCAAGGGATCATCATGGGGATGCTGACAAACTTCCAATCTGCATCAGAAAATGTTATGTCCATGTTCAGCCGAGGTGCCTTGGAAACAGATTGTACCTCCAATAAGTCTTTATCTCGGACTTTGTGCATATGGGCCTTCTTGGCTGAGCTGGTTTTCCCACCTTCGGTGAATCCTTCTAATATTACCCTTATCTCTCCTAATGGCTATTTGTGTTGCAAGGGAGCTTGTTGCTGAGGGGCTGGAGGTAGGTAAGCTCGGTTCTGATTTTCTTGTGTTACGAAACGACACAACTGCCCCCTCTGAATTAAGAATTCGATCTCTTTCTTCAACTGTATGTAGTCATTGATGAGGTGGCCATGGTCCCAGTAAAACTCACAGAATTTCATCGCATCCCATTTCGCAGGGTCAGCCTTCATCCGAGGTGGCCACCTCAGGAACTTTTCATTATGCATTTTGTAGAGGACCTGGGACACTGTGGTGTTGAGAGGAGTGAATTTTCATGGTGCATACATCGGTTGTACCTCTTGAGGTAGAGGTCCTAGGCGATCTCTTATATCCCCTCTCCTCTTTGGGGTGTGCTATCTGTCTCTTCATGGAGAGAGTTCTCAACTTCTCTCCTTCCTTGGACTTCAGTCCCTCATCTTCTCTTTCTCCTTCTCCTTGTGGGTAGTCGAGCTCCCAAACTTGGAGAGGAGAGCCTCCTCACCATTAATATATTTCCCCACCTTGGAAAGGACCTCAGTCATACTGACTTGTGGGTTCTTGGAGATAGAGAACATCAAGTCCTTTGATTGGACTCCCAACCCAGCAATGATGGCAGTGAGAACAAATTGCTCGTTAGGGACATCTACTTTTAGAGATTCTGAATTGAACCTTTGAAAGTAGCTCCGTAATGTCTCATTAGGTCTCTGTTTCATATTTAGTAAGTGGTAGCTTGGATTTCGATAAGTCCGAACTCCTATGAATTGCGAGACGAATGAGATGGAGAGTTTCTTGAATGAGGAAATGGATGTTGGGGTTAACATATTGAATGAGGTTAAGGCTGAGCCCTTCAGTGTAATGGAAAAAGTTCGGCAACGTACTGGGTCTTGGTACCCATGTAATTCTATCTGATTTTTATAGGTGTTGAGATGGTACATAGGATCCTTCGTTCCATCAAAGGTCTCTATTTGAGGCATTCTAAACTTTGGTGGAAGGGAAAAATACTACACCTCTGAGGTAAAGGAAGATTCGGTCTGCTGGACTAGGGTGTCCATAGTCACTGGGGTTTTTCCTCTTACAAGCTCCTTCATATGACTGAGATCTAGATAAATTTCTCCAAAGCATTGCTCCCAATATTGCTCCTTTCTTGCCTGTTGGTGTGGGGGAAACTCATTCTTATGAATCCCCCTATTCTGGCTTTGTACTTCCTCGTCCTCATTGTTCCTTTGAGTTTGTCGGTGTATGTTGTCGAATGATTGACTGTGTTCATTCTCTTCTGTATTTTCCCTTAAGGGATTGAGACATTAATGTTCCTCATGCTTAGGACCATCCTGGGAACATTAGAGGAGGTTCAGTAACTCCTCATTTTGCTGGAAGAAGCGTTGGTTGGCTAGGCGAAGGGCTTCAAGCTCGTTATTCAGAGGAGGACCCACCACAGGTGGGTCAACCTCTGGGTTAGGCAGGAAATCATGAGGATTTCCTGTTGCCTTCTAGTGGCAAACTCTTGGTTCTACAATCGGAGGGGGTTTACTGACTCCTGCTTATATTGCGTGTAAAAATCATCAATTACTGAAGATGATTAGTAGAATTTTTCATAAGAACAATTGTTCCCATAGACGACGCTAACTGATGATGTGTTTCGCATGATAGAGTATAGATGAGAGATTGATGGTTTGCCGAGTGACTCAGTCTGAGCTCTTAGGCTTTTAAGATCTGGACCGAAAACTTTGCAAACCACAGATCGGTCATAGACAATCTCATGGTGGAGTTCATAAAGTCGATTAATAAAATCTTCTCATCCTATTCATGTGTGAGGCAGTAGAAAATAATACAAAATAAAATACAAAAATAAAAATAAAAATTGAATAATAGATGAATCATCATACTGGTGCAATATGGTCACAGAAAGTGTGCTTTGGATTCAAATAGTTCTTTAAAAATTACCTCAATATGAAACAAATCGATATTTAGTACCATAATGAAAAAAAGATACAGGTGCAATTTAATTATGCCAAATTACAACTCGTTTGGATCTAAATTATGACTCAATCGGTAACAATGTGTGTGTGTGTGTATATTACTATGACTCAAAATGTTACAAACAAGTCTAATCAACTCCATTGAGGCATAATCTTAATCATAATTTGACTCAATTAAATCTTAACTTGCGACACGGGAATGAGAAGAAGTTGCATTTGATTCGGTTGTCTCTCAGAGACTTTTTGTTTCTTTTTTTTTTTTTGGGTGGATCCTAAATATGGAGGTTGATAGAGAAAGGATCGGGGTAATTTAATGACACCCGATGGATTTTTATGTTCTCCTGGCTCACCATTCCTATGGACTGAAACAAGGCTTTCGGTGTAGATATCGACGTCAAGGCAACGAGAACTATGGGATAAGATTTGGAGATGCTTAAGAACAAGTAGGGTATTAGGATCATACAAGACCAGGTGGCCAGTTGCAGTTCCAAGAAAGACCTCATCATTCTTCCACAACCCAGCTAGTATCATCAGTCCATGAAGTCCGATACTCAATTACTTGATCCAACATCCCTCCTCCTCCTCCATCAGTACCCACAGGGCAAGTGATGACTGTTCAGCTGATTCCCAAGCATCTATTGGCACTCGTGAAAGAGAATAAATCAGAGCAATAGAGCCATTGTACAACGTAAGAATCTCGCAGTCTGAGTCTTGGTGAAGGTCAGGTGGCCCTTGAAACTCTTTGAACTCCTCTTTCCCCATGTCAAACGAAACCAGCTTTCTATGTACAGATTTAGACCACCAGTAATAAACACCATTCAAGTAGGAATCGAAGCAATAATCTATCAAAAAACGTAGACTATCGGGAGCATCACCCTTGAAATCTTTCCATGAATCTATGCTTAAAGTGTACACAGCAACATGTATGGGATCCATCCATGGGCCCCATTTATCGGTGTTCCTGTCATGATTTGTGGGCACTGTGAGCGTTTTGTCTGTGAACAAGACGATGTCCCCCATGTCCCTAAGCTCATTGTGATAGTATACCACCAGACAGACATTGTCCTTGTTTTCGATGTTGTGTTGTAAATGAACGGAAATGAAAGCGGGACTATCAATCAGATTTTTTCAAAATTTACAGACACACCTGGATTGCAACAGAGATTTCACAGACATTCTTGACAATATCTCGATCAACACATCTTCTGCCAAATACCCACCTTTGCTCTCCATTTGGCCCATTTGACTGTATGAGTAAGATGGGTCATCTCTTCTGTGTATGAGAGAGAGAGAGAGAGACCTCTGGATTTCACTAAGTAGAGAGAAAGGGTTTTTTTTGTGAGTTTTTTTTTATGTCTCGAACAGCTGCTAGTTAATAAAAAGAAACAAATTTACAACATTCACACTATCGAAAAGGCTAGATGGTTTTTAATAATTTCATCTTACTTACCGAAAAAAAAAAAAAAGAAATGGCTAGTTAGTTTATTAAATAATTTAAATCAATATATATATACTGTAATACTACACTAATCAAATTTTGTGACCAAATTTAGAGCTCAAATAACATGAGCTGCACTCAAATTAAGAGCAGGTGATCTACCAAATAGGAGAATCGGAAAAAAAAAAAAAAATTGTTATAGGAGATCTCACTCCTCCACAAGCTACCTCAAAAATTCTCACAAGAGTATCTTTGTTATTTGTTAAAAGTCAGGAGATTTGTATTATATTATGAAACTCATCAGATATTTAGACGAGCAATATTATGCTTACTAAATCATTTATTAAATTTTGTATCCCAAATTAGTGTAGATGTTTGGATCGGTAGGGTTAATTAACTTCCATCAAACATTCAATGCACAATATTTTACACATCATTAAGAATATAACATATGCTAAATAAATTTGACAAGTATAATTTTATCCTTTACACAATCAAAACATGGGTTTGAGCTAGCGTGAAATGCATAATTTTTCATATTCTCAATATATGTTTAGCTATTCTTGCATTTCACAAAAAAGATGGGCTATTCTCACCCCTTATAAATATCTATTCATACCCCACTAAACAATATAACATAAAATTAAACCCACTCCATTTTTTTTTTGGAATTCATGCTATCCCAACTCTTCGGATCAGACTAAAGTCGGCTCTCCACGTGCAGGAGGTAAATCTAGGACCAGTGGCCCCAAAAAATGTTTGCACCTAGTAAGTTTCAAACCTTTGACCAGTACCAAGTGAAGACACTTACCAAGTGACCCTTAAACCACTAGGCTAATCCCTTGAGGTTAAGTCTATGCATGTTTACTAACAACATAAAATTGTAATTAGACTTTTTCCAATCTCCTTTAGAATCTTATTGTATGATTATTGGCTCTCCACAGAATTGCAACTATGTTTAGGCATATTTTGGTTGTTTTCACTCATCATGCCTTGCTACCGAAAAGAACTTGAATATTCTCAAGATAAATCAAAATTATTATCACTGTATATACTAGAAGGTGGTTCAGTAGATTATTTCGGAGGCATAACCTTTTGTATAATTAACAAACTTTTCATGGTAATTGGGTTCAAAACTTTAAATGCATATCCTTCGAATCATAGTTTATAAGTTGATTGGAGTTCATAGTTCTCAATAGTACATGTAAATATGATTATTCTTGTTTTTGATTTGACAAATAATCCAAGACTTGGTACTGAATCTTGTACCATTCTGAATTCTACTATTTTTCATGATCTTTTTATGATTTCCGATTCGAGGAATGGCCTAATGTTTCATTAGGACTTTTCTGGTTTTTTTTTTTTTTTGGGGGAGGGGGGGGTGGGGTGGGGGAGGTGTCATATAATGTATGTTTTGAAAAATTAGAATCCACAAAATTAATGACTTGTGACACTGTATATTAGTCAAAATTCCATTGTTAACCAATTTTAGGATGATCGAACGCTAGGATATGTATTGGAATGGCTTAAGGATATTATGCGGAGTACCGAGATATCAAACTTGCAACTTCATTATCCTAGCCAGAACTTCATCGAAGTGTATCCAAATGGCACATATATAGAGTAGCATAAAATAATAATATTTTTGTGTATATATATGTGATAAATAGGAATTTTTACAGCAGAAATATTTTAATACTGATTTTGAAAGCAACAATCAGTCTGTTTTTTATTTCACCATAGTTTCACCAGTGTTATTGTGATGATCGGATTATGAATCAGTTCCTTTTAGTCTTCAAGCAGCGGCGACCTTGGCAAAATAAAATAAAATTCATGTTAGTATCTACATACTTTCGAAAGAAATTAAGAGATAGATAGTAGAAAACGAAAGAGGTCACAAGAACCGACCTCAGGGGAAGGGAATAGGATAGTTCCGTTCCCACATGTCCTCGCTTTAGCCGTCCATGTGCATGAGACGGGGCTATTTCCTTTAGGGTCAAAACATACATATACCTCCTTAAGCATAAAATGGCCATTCTTTTTGTGGCATGTAAGCCAAATTTTATTGCCGATCCCGATCACCTTTGCAAAAGCTTTAAAAATGGCATTTTTTGTGTAAGGCTTGGACGAACCCGGAAGTATATTTGAATCTCCGAGGATCTTGAGAGGACTGATGTCATTCTTTAGTTTGATAGCCTTCATATAGTAATCATGGGGTTGGAACTCTTTTTGACAGCAACCGTGTTTGGTCCATTGGTACCACCAGTAGTTCTCGTTCTGCTTAGGTGTCTTACCCTTGAGATATGGCCAGTACTTATCCATATCTCCTCTTATGCCCTGGTACTGCATATATAAAACAAAAAGTAATGAATTAATGATTAGAGAATAAAGCAAATTAAGCTGTATCACAATAGTGTAGGAACTAGGAAGAGGAGTTGGAGCAAGGAAACAGAGATAATACATATGTTGAGCTTTGGTTGTATGTGGTGTTGCAATTTTTCAGGCTGTGTCCATCTATCGCTGCTGGCCATAAACCATGGATTGTGAAGTTATCAGGAATTGGTGTGGCACATCGAGTAGATTGGCAGAAAGTGTTGGGCCATGTTTGGACCATTTCCAAATGGTGAACCCGAGACTGCGCGTCGCATGTAGTGAAAGAACACAGCACCAGTAAGAGGAGGAGTGCATGAAGTAATATGTTAGAGGACTTCATTTCGCATTGACTCAAGCCAGAAATCATGTGAGCAATACACATGATTACTTCTTATAACCTAAAATATATGTATTACTTCATCTTCTTCTGCATAATGTCGTTGAAAACTAATAAAAAGAAAAAGTGGAAACGTAAGAAAGTGAAAAAGTGAGAAAGTGATAAAAAAAGAAAAAGTGATCAACTGAGAAAAAGTGAGAAAGTGATAAACCATCGAAGAAACAAAAAAAAAGTGTTCAAATTGTTCAAAAAAAGTGGTAAACCATCGAAAAAAGAGTAACAATCTGAAAAAAAAAGTGATCAAATTGAGGTAACAATCTGCAACGTAGGCCTCCAAATTTATACGCCCTAGTACAAAGAGTTGTTTACTGTGTGAGGCTTTTGATAAAAAAAAATTAATGCGTATAAATTTTTATTATACGAAAAATAGAAATACAATATTAAAAAATAATTTTTTGATATCATAGTTGAACACAATATACTACACTAGACTAGTGTAAGTGAGTCAAAAAACATTTTGCTATGGGTAAATATGACTATAACCAGTCTCGAGGGTAGTCCACTCTACACCCTAGTTCTTTTTTGTTTTTTGTTTTTGTTTTTTTGATCTAACTACACCCTAGTTCTCAATTGAATCCGTATGGAGACATTTTGATGTAGCCTTCTTCCCGTCAACGTCTTTCAAAGATGAAGAGAATTGTTTTGATCCGTCTTCTCCTTTACTTGCCACTTGAGAGTTGAGCTGAGACCATGGTGTCAATTTTATCATGTAGTATGCCTTGTTTTTTTGGATTTGAATCAAAAAGTTCCCTAACACGTACACGTGACATTCAATTAATCATGTTCAATTATTAGTAAATTACGTTTTACCACGAATTACTACCTTTATTTTATTTTGTACCCTCAACTATATAATTTCTCACATTACACCTTAAAATATTAATTTTGTTTCATAACACTCCAATAGATAACAATAAATTTAAAAATCTGTCAAAAGAGTGAGGTAAACCACAAAGATCTTCCCACTAAGTGTCTATTACCACTTTATTTTATCTTTTTTGCAACCAAATAGTTGTTGCGAACAAAAATAAGGTCGAACAAAGAAAGAACATTTGGAACTTAAGAAGGGCAAAGTCATGGATGTTTATTTATTATTATAATTTTTTGCACTAATACTATTGGGACATAATTTATGGACGTAATTTGGGGACATAATGAGTTGTCACCAATGAAATGATAATGAATTGTATTTAATGATGGGTCACATTGTAGCATTAAATGAATTTATTATCATTTCATTGGTGACAACTCATTATATCCCCAAATTATGTCCATAAATTATGTCCCAATAGCATTGCTCTATTTTTTGACATGCACATGTCTAATAGACAGTTGTTTATTGATAGTAAAGACTACTCACATTCGCATTTACCGTCAAAAAATTAACACTTGTTATATATTGGAGTGATATGACACAAAATTGATACTTTAGGCTTCAATAAGAAAAATTTTATAATTGAGAATACAAAGTTCAATAAAGGTAATAGTTCAAGGGATAAAGCGTAATTTACCCTTCAATTATCTAATACTGTCACAACTTTTTTTAAGCATATAACCTAAAGCCTCGCAAAAATAATGCAAGATAGGCCAAAGGTCAACCCAATATTCCTTCACATCCCTGCCTGTCGTTGATTTTACGTATTAAGTGTTAAATATGACAATTTATTTTCTGATTGTAATCCAATAGGAAACATATATGTGTAGGACGTAATTGACTAATTATTTGTTCAAATTGAGATGAAATTCAAAAATAATTTCTTTATGGGAATGATGGCTTGCATTCTAGAAAATGCAAAAGCAAGAATACCTGGACGCTTTCCGAATAGTTCGTGTTTTCATGTTTTTCACACCTTTTAAGTTCAAACATTGAATGTATGATAAGCATACACACATATAATTCTAGATCTTGCTAACCCATGAACGATCTGTATATTAAATGTTTTAGTAATTTACAATTCAAATCTCAAAATAACATGATACAATACACAAAATTTACATTCTAGTCTTATGTTATCTCAACTGTCAATTGGCAAGTAAATGAGAATGAGAAACTAACAAAAAAAGAAAAGAAATGTTGTCTTAAACCGACAATAAAGGGAAGAAGATACTGAACAAAATGTCGCCATCAGGATTCAATTGAGAACTAGAACGTAGTATAGGTTTCTCTGAGATTAACTTGGGTGATTTGGCTGGCACATGGACAATTAATTCAGCTTATTTACTCTAGCAAGTCTATTATGAAGAAAAGACTACGACATTGAAAGTGTATTTTTTCCTTTGATATCATATCACAAAGTAATACTTTTTTGAGGTCATTTCAAAACTTTTTTAGTGTTTGATATCCATCATCAAATTTTAGAATAGACCATCTCACTCCCCCTATCACTCCCTTCCCCTCCCCCTCCCAAATCTCTATAAATCTATCTCTTTCTAGTACTAAAATGTATTACTCTACTCATCTGAATGTACCATTTTTCAACAAATATTCATCAATATAGTTGTAGGTCATTATACACTTTAATGGTTATTCCAAACTAAAGAATTTTGCAAGATAGTCCTGATTGTCAATCTGTGTAACTTATTTCTTTCATTGGTCAAGAGAAGGTTAATTGAAAGAAAGAATAATGAAAATTTCTATGAACTTATACATTTAGACGCACGCAACCACAACATTTGTTTTTTTTTTTTTCATACACAATATGTTGTTTGATAGAATTGTTAGATGAGTCATGTTGGATTTTTAAATTTATTTCGATCCGTATGGCATTACAAATTATGGAGCATCATATTTTGAATATTACCCAGGAACGGCCATAATTTGCATCTAGTGAATGATATATTAATTTTTTCAGTTTATTGAAATCCCAAATAGTCATTTTGGGGTAAATAATTCATAATCACCAAATTATTTCAGTGATGTAATAAAAATGGAAATGAAAAAATACATATCAAAACTAAAGAATTGATTCCCATAGAGCACTAAAGCACACATTTGCTGCCAAATGATGTGAAATATAAACAAAGCATTCAAAAAAAAAAAGGTTACTTTTCTGTAGTTTTTATCTATTGTCCAACATAGACCGCACAGGAAGCCCAAAACTTGATAGTGAGAATGCTACTAAGTTTTATTAGCTCTTGATGCAAGTCTACTTTATTAGCTCTCGTGAATGATACCTTGAGTGCTTTATGTTTTCATTGATATTGCTGCTTCTGTCAAATTCACTGGCTTAAACTTTGGTACCTCTGTCCTTAACATGCAACAGAACTAGAAATTCTCAATACCAACCATAGCATAATGTTATAAGCCTATTCATTGTTCCACCTTTTTATTGATAGCTTTATACATAAATGGTTGGGTTCAAGGATCAAATTTTCAATCGATTGGGTTGTAGTTTTAGTTTTGGTAAGCTTGAAAATGAAAAGGGTTTAGAAAATTTTCCTAAACATTATGTAGACAACGGAAAATTTTTGAATTTTTTATAGAAATATTTCAGAACATACCAAAATACGTCAAAATATTCTGAATTGTTTTTAGAAATTGTAATGTACAATCAGTTCATTTGTGTAAACAAAAAGATTTCAGTTGTTTAATCGGAACCAATACAAAACTTACTTCCTTTGCTAGGTCATAACTTGATGTGAAGTAATGCTACCAAATACAACATTACTAAACAAAAGACATTAAATCTGCATTCTTTCTATTTGAAATGATCATTTAAAAACCTTCATCAAGGGATGTACCCTTAGTACTCCCTCCTCATCATAGGATATGACAAAATGGGGTCTAAAGACATCAAGGAAAAAACATACAAATTTTGTTTAGTTCTTGAAATAGTGATTGAAAAAAAATGAAAATATGACTTATTTCTCGAAACAGAGAGTCCAACACCGTGTAAATTTGTCAAATAAGGGATATAAACTTCAGTACTGTATTAAGCATTTCAAACTTTTTTTTTAATTTAGAAATCATCATGATATCTGTAATCACTTGCATATTATTTTTTGGATTCTTTCTACAACAGGGATTTAAATTTAGTTTTTTTTTGTAGGGACAGTGACAGCTGAATTGACAGAGAGCATTAGATTTTTTAGCAATAATGTTGCAGAAAAACAGTCGGGGCAACAAATTATTAATTTTCACTATGTTTAGCTTGTGTTGGAAAACAGAAAACAATGTTAAATGTTGTATTGTAGACTACTTTACTCATGTTTTTTAGGCAAGCTAGGCCTGGAATCTACTATGCGAATGGATTTTATGTTGTATGATAGGATTGTTATGTTATTAAGATATGTTTCTGATGAATTAAAATGAAAATGTATTTGGGAAAGGTTGTCTGGTTTTTTTGTCGAGTGAAGTAAACCTTTTTTTTTATTTCATAGAGTAAAGTAAACTTGACCGTGCCATGATCAAGGATAATACAACAACTATAATAGAACAATGATGGACAAGAAACCTTTCTTCAGATCGATGTATCTTTCAACTAGCAAGTAATATACTGCCATCACCACACAATAATTGTTCTAAAACCACATGTTAATATGAACAAAGATCATGGACAGAACCAAGTTGTGGGATAGGAAGCAATGTCTTCCTCAAGTTTTCTTTAAATCCTATAATAAAGGTACTTCACAAAATAGTTTGATAATGCCTGATTGAAACTTTAGCATGAACACATGAACACACACCTTTGGCCAATTTGATTCGCCGGTAATGTTAGCTCCTTAGAATACTTAAAGGAACTTGTGGTATTGTGGCGAAGCGTAATAGGCAAAAGTCGACGAAGTCAGCTAATTAAAGGTTTGACCCAACCATCTAGGCTACTCCCATCATGGATTCTCCGGTGTGTAGGGACTACAATGGTCAGTTCTAGGTAAGATCATCTACCACTAGTTGCCCCTTCATAATTTTCCCAGAAAAAAAGAAAAAAAAAAAGGAGTCAAAC